GTTGCGGTAAAGTTTGACTGAAAATCTTTGACTGTTAGAGTGGTTTCCAAGAGGATATCTACTCGTTCGATTTTCTTCCCATGGCGCGTGACTTTCTTGTATCTTGGTTAATCGATAAGCAAACTCGTCTCCCTCGCTTGAAAACTTCTTCAATTTCTTCGATTCTATTCTGTATCCGCTTATATCTTCAATTTCCGTTCCGTACGGATCTACATTTAAATGTGGAGAACAATGCTGGTGGATTTATGGCACGGGCTGACTATAAAACAGGAGAGATTCATTGCTGGATAGTAAATCTTTACAGTTTGTCTTTCTTTCCTTCCTTGATAGCAACGAAATCTAGAGAGCTGTCTTATATAACTACCAAATTATGTTGTATTATTTTATCAGTCTTATGACTCTGTTTAATATACGAACAATAGGTATGATATACAAACAGTAAACATAATTATTATAATGAGTTATTATAATGAAGTTGTAAAGGCATGTTTCGCTTTTTTGATAGTAATACAGAAGTTACAACAGAGAAGGGAGTTTCCTTTTTGGAGGAACAAGCGTGTTGAATGAAATATATCAAGTTTACCGAGTGTCTGGTATGAGAAAAACACCAGGGCAACGAGTGTATCGAATGAAATTCCCAAAGTTTTGTAGCATGCGTGGAACCAGCCTAGCACATGTGATTAGAGAGATTAAAGGGAAACATTTTATCGTAAACGTTTCGAGAGAATTTAATTCACTTGAAAGCTTTTAGAGGGTATCGCTACGTTTGGAAAGTTACTGCAAAATTCACTTTGTGACCATGGCAGTCGTGCAATTGCGATATTTTCAAACAGGACGATTGAGTTTGCCTGTTGCGATCGTAATCAGGTAGTAACAGTGATCCTTCGTTCCTCTTTTTTGAAGAACAATGAGATTTTACAGAAACACATGTACAATCATTAATACCGATGCTTCTTTCCATTCTGTTTTATAGTATAAGCTCTTTTATAGAACAAAACCAAGCAGAGTGATCAAATCGACCAATTTATAATTTGTCACAGAAATTTTATAGATTTCCTATGGTGAATTTTTGGGAATTTATTTTACAAAGGAAAATGGACAAAGTCTTGTTTTTCTATATCGTGTGGGCTTTTATATAACTTTCATTTTGGATTGTTTAATATAATCTGTATACTTCAGTCGTCGGTTCAAGTTAATTACGTTAAATAAATTAACTCGATTATATTCCGTGATAAAGAAAAACTAGATAAAGGGGTTAACGCGACATAACGAAGAAACAATGTCGAGAAAAAAAGTACTAAGGTAAAAAGTACTAAGGATTGGCTTTTAATATCTTAATCCCAGGAGAGATTAATTTAACAACCTCAAATCTATAATGCTGCGACTAGCAACAGCTGACTACGATATGTTTCCTTCAGACTTTCGTGTCCTACTAAGCCGAGCTTTTTAACTAATCGAACCATTCCTTATCAGTATCGCGACGTTGACGTGAAAAATGAACCGTGGCATAGTTGCTTTCGGAGAATACTTCTCCAATATATTGCAGTAGGGCGGTTAACTTTTTTACTGCGGCGTAAAATGTCGAGATTATTATAGAATAAAAGAGAAAGGAGGTCTCTTGTCTTAGAATCGAAATAGTTACGAAAGATCCAAAATCGAGCTATTTTCGTACATATTTTTAACGCTTCGATCTAGATCATCACGATCATCGATCTTATACTGAAATTATTCTTCAATTATATTTATAAAGATACAAAGTTGCAGCCTATTCGTTAGAATTTTTGGTGCAGTCAAAATGTAAGAAGAAAATCCTATTCAACTTCGCTTGCTGGAGAAAAGCAAACACACGATTGGCGAAAGAAAGGAGAAGAGAAGATAAAGAAAAATGGGGAAGAGATCGATAAATTTTCATCATCATTGCCGTACAATTGGGGCCGTGTGCTTTCACGATTTCTCGATGTGGAACTGCTCTCGAATCAGGTTGAAAACCAAGCGAGAAAACTCTCGATCGTCGATCCGTGACACCTTAAGCGTGGCTATGTGGACACACGCTAAGCACACGTTCGAGAAATAAAACGGCCAAGTTATGCCGCTTTTTCCGGCCTGCTCTCCCTCTACGCGTTTACGGCAAACACACATGTATATACTGGGTGTCCTTGCGGAATGAAAGTACCCTGGAAAACGTGACCTCTCCTTCTACCTATGAGTAATGCGAACCGCTGATGGATCAAGGAGCCCATGTACAACTGTGCATGCGCACCCATGTTCCCTTCCCTGCTATCTTGAATGGAAAAGTTTCCAGATTTCTGCGGCCACTGGCTCGCGCGATTCAAGTGCAAGTGTCAGTCCTTAGTTACGCGGAACGATTATTAGTAGACTGTGGACATTTACGCAAATTCAAACTTTTATGAACATAACTGAAGAAGTAAAATCAAAATGAAAATTTATTTCATCTACTAAATATTATAACAAGTACTCTACTTTAGATATTTTATGCATTTAGGCATGTTACGTATATTCTGTTGACTTTTGAACTTTAATTTTCAAAGAAACGAATAAACGTTCGTAGTCTAGTTATTGGTAGCGTCGAGGTTATCTGATAGAGGAACGCGTAGATGAATTTGTAATAGAAATATATATTGAAGCAAGTATAAGTATAAGTACAGGTATAGCTGATCCAGAGCCTCACTGTAGCAGTGTTATATTCCAATAGAATATGATAGATTTATAGTAAAGGACATTACCAAAAAATCAACCTTGGTGTGTAACTCTAGCTGAAAGTTACAGGAAACATCAATAAAAATCTACTTGTAGCTCTTTTGTTTGTAGACCTTGTTACCCAAAACAACATTTATATTCGAGTACACAATAATATGAACCTCTTCTTTTCTTCATTTTTTTGCTTCACTAAATTCTATGTTCTTCGCAACGGCGGTGTCCAGGTTACGGCTATACAAAAGAAAAAGACGTAGAGTTTTCCTAGAAGTAATTACTCCAACAGGTAAACTGCCAGTCTGTATGTAAATTCATATCTTTATGAGTGCAATGATAGAAATAGAATCTAAATAAAAATTTGTTTCATCTGCTAAATGTTATAGCAAGTATTATAATTTTGATATCTTATACATTTCTGCATATTGCGCGCATTCCGCGCATTTTTGCATCTTTAAATATCCCATAAATGCCTGAATATTCGCAATCTAGTTACTAGAACCGCGTAGTCTTTTTTCCATGAGAATCGCGTTAATGTGTAGCAGTTCGCATGGAGAAATTTGCTCGCGACGTCTTGGTAGTTAATTGCTCGTTAGAGGTGTTCCATTTGAGAACTGAGTGCAAAGAGATAGTTTTATTTCAACTTTGAGATATGAATTCTTGCACCCTATCGCGTAATTGAATTAATGTTATTGGCGAAGTTTTAGAAGTCATGAGTTTCAGGTTACGATATGCGATACAAGACGATCCACAAATTAGTAGTGATAAATACATTGATAAAGTAAATTGGTAAAGTTTCCAATTTAATTTGAAAATCAAATTTCAAAATTTATTATCCTTCAAAATTTATCACAGCAACCAGTCACAACAGTAAGATACATTAATGATACTACTCACTTGACTTGTAATTTATGAAATTATACAAGTATACAATAGTATACAATTATACTATTTTTGTATCACGAGTCTACAATTAGTTGATAAATTATCTTTGTAAGAAAACCCTGTTACCAAGTATTGAAAAATAATCATAGACGAATATTTTTTCTTCTAGTATTAAAAGAACCAAAGCAACGTGTGAAAACATCGAGCAACAACGTTAATTACCTACCTAAACACTTCACGGTAAACACAATCGTTAAAGGAAAGAAAGGAGTTTTCTATTAAGAAGCAAAGTTGAGCGTAGTTTGTTTCGATAAGAAAAAAAGAATTTGCCAGAGAATAAGCGTTCTTGGCATTCTGTTTCATTAAGCACGCAGGACGAGATGCTGTAAGTCCTTCGGATCGCGCGATAGGAATTTTAATGCGTGAACATTAACATAAAAGTATCGTTGAATTTGCCACTCAAGATTTTGTAAATTGTTATTCTAAATGCGCCGGTTACTTGTGAATTATTGCACCAGGCCTGACTGTACCGTTTCAGAGATAATTCGTGCAATTTCGTTGCCCGTACGAACCTCTCCCGACGAATAGCAGTTAAATTCACTTAGCGCTGTATCAGCATGATACATTAGCATGCTTGGCAACTGTTTCGACTTTGTTAAGCCTCCTTATATTAATTTGAATACAAAGTATCTCCTCGAATCGCCACCGTCTCCTCTTTCTACGTTATAATTTACAGATTTTACAAATTTGCATAATGCACGGACCTGTACGGAGTTATTCAAATTTTACAACGCTCGGTCGCATTGTTTCGGCTGTCATAATGACGCCACGTAATCGCGGAAATAACTGTTTAACATCTCGTCTTACGAAATTAGAGGACACCAGCCTCTCGGAAATGAAAACGAATGGTTTCAATTTTTGTCAATTTATCAATTTCGTTCTACTGGTATACGATCATTACTCGATTCTCAAGAAACAAATAATTTACTTCCATACGTTTGTTTATCGGAGAGAACATTGTGCAGCTTCTCTAATATAACTGGCTTAAACCCGTTACACACGTAATTTCAAATTCATTCCAGGCTAAGGAAGTAAATAGACTCTTCTAACAATAGAACGTTTACATAGCAGGACATTGTATGAATACTAAATCGTTTGGCTAGTGTCCGTGTAACGAAGGTTCCACTATATTAGAATTCAATATGGAAACTAGCGCGAAACTATCGCTCTTATCGATTACAAAAGCGTAACTCGAGTAACAACGAATTAAAAGCTCTTATCGTTCGAGCAAAGTGCGTCGTTGTCGAGTTTCAACTAGGTGGGATAGCCAATAAACGCCCAAGGCAGTATGCATCGTTAAACGAACCTCACCCTCTCTTTTTTCTTTTTTTTTTTGGTTGCAGGTCCGGCCAACGAACAGAGACGAATTAGGAGGAAATTTATCGATTTCCGATCCCGAACGATCGACTGCGCGAAAGTGGAGCGGCTACGTGAGATCCGGTTTCGGAAGGACGGAAAAATATGAGCATCTCGTGAAGTCGGTTTAAAGTGCAGCTTTCAGACATCGAAGGGGTATAACATGGAAACCGAAGAACTCACTAGACTCGTAGATGAGATCTACAAGGTAAGCGTCCAATCGAGTATCGATCTGAAGATCGTGCACTGGTCTCGCCAGGTTGGCTCACAACACCCAGCTTGGTTTCTCCTCATTGTAACGTACGATAGAAACCAGCTATAGGAAAACGGGAAAGTTCTGTTACACTTTCGATAAAATTGATCGAGTGAAGTCGTGTTTGATTAATTGCGCAATTAGGCGACAGCGTCGCGTCGATTAACGCTTTTCACTCGAAAGAAATGGTAACTCTCAGTAGCGCAAGGCGAGTTTTACCAATGACACGATAATTCGAATTACTATATCGAGTTGTTGCACGTGAAACAGCCAATTTCTATTTTATTTAATTCAATGTAATTCAATTTATTGCCAAAATATCCATTTTTTTGTATATACAAAAGTATAAGCAGTCGGATATATTCTGCTTTTTAATAGATTTTACAGATACTCTAAAATCTTGCGCAATTTAATGGTTAAATGCGCTACACGAAGATATGAAACTCGCAGTTAGACGTTTTCTGTTTTTAAACTCCAATCTACAGCGTAAGAGAACTGTAAATTGCCTTCATACACGCTTTACCCCGTTTATAGATATTATCACGATTTTCTCGCTTACAGTCAACGAATTTTCCAACGAATCTCGTCACATGGCGTGTGAACGCCAAGAACCTTGATCATGTGTCACACGATACACATGGGATAATGAAAAATGGATTTCCACGTGTGAGTGTGCCCTCGAGTAGACACAAGTACGCTCTCGAATATACGGGAATCTGGCCGTATATAAAATTTGCGCCACAATCTTCCTCTTCTTAACGGTTTAGCAAGTTCTTCTTCAGTGTATACGTCATGCAACGTGATAGGCTGCTCTTTCTCTCTCTCTTTCTCTCTTTTCCTCTCTCTCGTTGGCCAGCGAACGATTTAATAAAATTCGCGTTTGATAAAACTGTCAAAGATGAAAGTTGATCGTGGATATCGAATTTAGAAATTCTACTCTACCGTCTGGAACTTTTTTCGGGGATATTACTTATCGTTACCCTAACGGCCTGCTATTTCTCTGCTTCTCTACCATCGTGTCTTTGCTTCCCGACTAAGATGCTGGTTTTTTATGTCCTTCTACTTTATCTCTCCCTCTCCTCTGCCAAAGGAAATGGATATCGACCTATGCTCCTGGAAATCACTTTCATCAATTTCCCAAAGGCTTCTTCCTGAATATCTCAACTTTGAAGAATGTTACGAACGTAGAGTATATTTTTCTTGCTTCAAACAAAAACGGGTCTGCCGTTCCTTATTGTTCAATTAATTCAAAATTTCATTATACAGAAGCTCCAAGTCCTGTTACTGGAAACATAATTTTTCTATTATATAAAAACTACCGAATATACTTTTCCACTATATTTCGTGCAAAACTAAAGTTACCGCTTCCTGCGTTCAATTAATTCAAAGTTTCGTAATATAGGGTAGATATAGCTTTAAAATTTCATAACACAGCGTACAAAGAGTTTGCACATAGCCGTACTATAAATTCTGTTCCTCGCCAAAAAATTAATTCTGTTATATAAAAATTCTTACAAATTTTAGAAGTTAAGCAATGCTATCTTAATTAAGAAAATTGACAGTCTACTCGGCGTATTTATTAGCCAAATTTCTTTATAGAGACAAAGTATTCTTCGTTCAAATCCAATCATCGTAGTACTTAACGTGGAATACAGTGTGTGTTATAAATAGCTGACGGAGATTTTCGACCTTTTGAAACTTTCCAGGATGACAAACAGATTTATCTATTGTACTATGAACAGGTGTAGAAAACTATCATCTATAGATAAGATACCGTAAAACTCGTCTCAATGTCGGAATTTAATAAGAATAGTTATAGCGAACGCAGCAACGTGAATATCTATGGAATTCGTGTGTGTAACGATGGATGAATAGCCAGGTCGTATAACCCTTTCGCCACTAACGGTACATATGCATGTTTCCTATACATACAGTTTTTAAGAATTGCTAACGGTCAAATATCCTCCACAGACTACTAATGAGGTACATGTATATGTGCTGTGAGTAGAGCTCGAAATCTGAAAGTAGGAAATTCTTCTCTTCTAATAGTAAGTTACGGATCATTTGAGTAACTGTATGCATATACGTCTGTAATCGTTTTGAACAGTTTTCAAGATTTTTCTAATTTTCTTTATAGTGGTATAACAGTACAATATAGGCGTAATACTTACATCTAACCATAGACTTCGTTATAAATTGAATATAAATAATAATCAAATTTTCTTTGATACATCGTTAAATTTTTATACCAAGTTCAAAAAATACCGCAAACGTAGAATACATTCGCTTCGAGCAAAAAGGAAATTGCCGTTTTGGTGAAATTGATTCAAAACTCCAGAAGCCTGAACCTTTTTTTCGAGCAAAACTTTTCTACTAGGTATAACTATTTATATGTAATATTTCTAATAGGAATAGCCTAATAGGAAACTAATAGGAAAGCCAGCTACAGACAAAAACTAATAAAATCTTGATTATTTTTAAAGGTGTAGTTTGAACAAACTGTTGATTTACCTGCTACACAAAGTTGTTCTAATTGGAATCAAAATTTCGCCTGTAACACGTATCTGCTAAATAAACGAAAGCAAAGAAATAATAAGATCGTAATCGAAAGATAAGGTATTTTGAAACGTCGAAACTTCCAGTGTAAACGATTCGCTTCCAAGGAAAAGGAATTTCACGGAAAATTGATCCCCGACGCAACACCGTCTACTTTCTCTACCCGTGAACCATAACCATCATCCTCGTACGTTGCCGCGGAACTTGTGTTCGCGGTGGAAAGCTCCATCTACTTAGCTGACTGTACAAAAGTTTCCATCGTGGCACGAGCTTGCAGTTAATCCGTCCGTTTATCCTTCCACTTATCCGTCTGTCTGTCTCCAAAACGTGCGTTTACGCGGAAGCCTGTAGACACGGTTGCCACAGAATTCCCCGATAATTAGGTGTCGCCTCGGAAAATTATCCGTCGTGAATACAAGCATGGCGGCGGAGGTGGAGGAATAGGAAGATACAGAGAGAGAAAGAGAGAGAGTGAGAACGTTGGATGGTGTTCACGGTAGCGAGAATGATTAGGCGGAAGGTAATCTTATTAGTCGTTCGGCAGTCAAGCTTTCCTTTAAACCCCAACGCCCTTCATCTTTGTCGCGATCCTTCGCACCGTGGAACTTCGCTTCCCCCATTATCCTCATAGACGAGCCACCGTTCTGCGTACTAACGACGGATGCTTCGTGGAAAATACCAAAATCGCGATAGTCAACGACTTACCATGGCTTAGATACATCTCTCGTTTCTTGCCATCCGCTGCTGTTATATCCATCAGGAAAGATATAGGTTTACTCCGGCAATATCGTATCTCCACTTTTTGAGAAATTTGAGTTTCTACGTGCAACAGACAGTTCTCCATTGTCTTTATGTCGTAGAAAAATCACATTTAAATACGTATGTACTTCGCAAATTTGTCAAAGATATATAATATTTTTGTTTGTTTTATTTAGTGTACATAGAGCCATTTTCGAGAACTATGATTCTTTATTCTATGTAAACAACGGTATTAATTATGTTTTTATTGTATTTAACAGTTAACAGGCTCTACGTTTTATCTTCGTATTATCCGTATCTAAAAGCCTTGAAATAAAAACGTGTTTAATTCGAGAGCTTGAGAGACATTTTTATCCCACACATAGAGCAGTAATCATGAATTCTGAATGGAATCTTTTGCGAACGAAATATCGATCGCTAAGGGAGTCGAGTATCGTGATTAAAACCAGGCATTTAAATATTAAAACACACTTAAAGATGAGCGATATTTCGGTCCAGTTACGCTGTTGGAAACTGTTAACAACATATCAGTGGATCGATGGAAAATATCGAGAATAGAAACGAAAGTGCTCGTTCATACTTTATACAAAAGTTACATACACAAATTACGTAACAGAATTACATCAATACTCTAACAGTCTGCGAAGTTTCTCAACAAAAAATCATCCTCTATTTAATATCTCGCCCAATCATTGGTTTTATTCTCCTCTTTGACAATTTCTTCGGCACCTTACGTTCGTAAATGTACAATGAGTTTTCCGCTTCTACGTATCTTATTTGTCACCGTATTACTTTTCACGGCAACTTGCCCAAGGCGTTTTTATTATCCAATGATATCGGACATAGCAACTTTACCCAGAGTTATTCAACTCCTAGACACAATCGTTTCTTTCGTAAGAAAGAATATCCAGGGAAAAGCCAGGGAACAAATAACACAGTCGATTGCTCGTTTTCTTCATAAAATCACAATCAAACGGCAGAATGTAATCACCATAGAATAAAATAATCCCGCCTTCGAAGACAGTATAAACCTTAACTGTCTTGGTCCAGCGTCGCGTAGAGGAACGAAAAGACAGAGAAAGAGAGAGGATCGAGTAAAATAACATTGAGATCTTTCAAAGTCTTGCCAGAAACGAGATTTGTATGCAGCTTATTATATTCTCTAACATAATAAGCAGTTGCGGTTTGTCAGACGACAGCAGATACAAACTCAGATTCTAAGAAAGCCTTTTCCTGTGCTTGTAAATAATTCTCCCAAGGTATTTAATACGAGAGGAATATAATTGTTTACAGTAATTATTGTCCACCTTAGCAAAGTTTCTCGGCTAAGGTTTCAGAGTGGTGTGTCTATCATTAATATTCCGTAGAACGAGAGTTAGGCTAAAGGATTATAAACCGGGGATCTATTAAAACGTTCGAAAGGAACGAGAGCGGAAACAACAATTACAACATCCGAGTAACTCAGACGAGCTCTGAACTGGAATCGTTTTATTTTCCCCGGGCGAATTGGAAAATCGTTAATAAATCGTGACAAATTGGAGGAATTCGCGCAGACCGTCCAATTAAATATGGCCGGACGAATTAATATCACCGCGAATGGCTTCGTTAAGACACCGTCCTGCTCGAATTAGTACCACCCA